TGTGATAATGCTTGGCAAAGCGCACCTGTAATCACATATGACTCAACTGCAAATCAACCATTCTTTAGGGTGGCAACAACGCCGGCCACACGATCGTCGTGAACGACATCAAGTACGCCTTCCACATGCTGCCTTCCGGCCTGGTCAACCCGTCCTGCGTCTCGGTGGTTGGCTCTGGTGTGGTTCTGCACCTCCCGGGCTTCTTCAGCGAGCTTGAGGAGCTTGAGCAGAAGGGCCTGAACTGCGACGGCCGCCTGTTTGTCTCGGACCGCTGCCACCTCGTGTTTGACCTGCACCAGATCGTCGACGGTCTCAAGGAGGTCGAGCTGGGCCGCGGCTCCATCGGCACCACGCGCAAGGGTATCGGACCGACCTACTCCACCAAGGCGTCGCGCTCGGGCATCCGCGTCCACCACCTCTACCACTTTGACGAGTTCGAGAAGCGCTTCCGCTCGCTGGTGGCGAGCCGCCATCGCCGGTACGGCGACTTTGAGTACGACATCGAGAAGGAGCTGCAGCGGTACAGGGAGCTGGCTGAGCGCCTGCGCCCGTACGTCATTGACTCGGTCGAGTATCTGCACAACGAGCTCAAGGCCCAGAAGAAGGTGCTGATTGAGGGCGCCAACGCGCTGATGCTGGACATTGACTTTGGTACGTACCCGTACGTTACCAGCTCGAGCACCTCCGTCGGTGGCGCGTCTACCGGCCTCGGCATCCCGCCCTCGCGCATCGGCAAGGTTATTGGTGTGGCCAAGGCGTACACGACCCGTGTGGGCGGTGGTCCGTTCCCCAGCGAGCTGACCGACGAGGTCGGCCAGAAGCTGCGCGACGTGGGTGCTGAGTACGGTGTCACCACCGGCCGCCCGCGCCGCTGCGGCTGGCTGGATCTGGTGGTCCTGCGGTACTCGAACATGGTGAACGGGTACACGAGCCTGAACCTGACCAAGCTCGATGTGCTGGACGTGTTTGAGGAGATCAAGGTCGCTGTGTCGTACACCATCAACGGCCGGAATGTCACCTCGTTCCCGGCCGACCTCGACGACCTGGAGACCGCCACCGTCAACTACGTCACGCTGCCCGGATGGAACCAGGATATCAGCAAGTGTCGCAAGTTCGAGGAGCTGCCCAAGAACTGCCAGGACTACGTGCGCTTCATCGAGAAGGACCTGGGCGTGCCTGTCGAGTGGATTGGTGTCGGTGCGAGCCGTGATGCCATGATCAAGGTTGACCTCTAGTTCGTTTTGTTTGTTTTCTAATCACTTTCTTCTATTGCCAATATCTGGGCACGTATGCGAACAGACGTGTACTGTGTGGGATCGCTGTATGTTGTCGGGCACCATGGCAAACCACATGTAGCTGTGCATCCAGTCGGCAGCACACTATTTTGCATCCTATCGTGATTTGTTTGGAACCGGTTGGTTGCTTTTGGGCACAATCCGCTGCTCCGATCTCCGGCAGACCGCAGGTGCTGAAGTTCCGACTGCTTTCGGCGCAGATGCATAAACATGTATACGGGCACGACATGTAACATAGGAGGTCACATGTTGCACAAAACCTCTCCGCTAGCCGTGTGAGGCTGGGTTCCACCCCTATGGCTGAATGAAAATCAGCCTGTACTCGCCTGCCTTCCCCTGCCAAGGACTGTGACAAAGAAATCCTCTGCTGCTCGAGATTTGCAGTGCTGCTTGTCAAATGACCATCTCATTTATTCCTGGAAAAACGATAGTGCCCGCTTGCATACGACAAGGGAAATCGCTTGTTTTCGCCCGTTGGTGGATTGGTGCTTTATCGCTGTAGCATCTGGAGCTGGAAAAATAATGCCCTCCTCCTCTGGCTCGATGATATTGGAGCGGATAGTCCGGGTGATTGCCTCCCGTCTACGATCGCCTTCGGACACGTCCTGTCCATCGCCTATATAAACTCCCCCCTGACATTGGCTGGAGGCTGCGTGTAGTGTGAACCAAGCTCACTTATCCTGAATACCCCCGTCAAGACAAAGGCTGTTTCAAGCATCGGCTACTTCTTCTCCTGAACCCCTCGTTACTTTCATTCTTTTCCCACTGTGTGCACCAATACTTCTGCTTTTGTTAGCAGTGCTAATTTTGTCGTTTTGCCTTTCTCGAAAATTACCCCACTACGCTCTAGCTCATACGCTCCGGGTTGGCCAAGCCTGTCTATCGATGTTTATGGCGGAAAGATGCGGCACAGATAACTCTTTTGAATCTGCGGGTCACGATAGCAGCCCGTCCAAGATTGCTATCGTGGATGTTGTTGGTGAGGAGGCTGGGCGCGATGATGGACCCAGCAAGGACTCATCAGCCAGCGCTGGTCTGAGCCGCGGCCTCTCTGAAAGGTAAATACGATTTATTAGCTAGAGGCATGGCGGCAATAGGTGCGCTCCACTTGCAGCTGCGTTTGCTTCTCCCACGTATCCCGCCACCACGTGAGTCAGGCTACATTATGTATTTAAGCACTTGATCACATCATTAGGCACATTGCCATGATCACGCTCGGCGGAGTCATGGGCAGCGGACTGTTCATTGGATCGGGCCAGGCCCTGAATGCTGCCGGTCCTGGCGGCTCCTTCGTCGCCTATGCAATGGTCTCCGTTGTGATCTACTTCACCATGTCGTCTCTGGGCGAGCTCGCCACATATCTTCCGATCCCGGGCTCGTTCAACGCGTATGGCGGGCGGTTCATTGATCCGGCGTTTGGCTTTGCACTGTCGTGGAACTACTGGCTGAACTGGGTCACTGTGGTTGCGTATGAGGCCGGCGCCGTGGCCATGCCGATCAGCTACTGGCTGCCGAACGTGCACTTTGCCGTGTGGGGAGTGATCATGATCATGATCGTCTATGCCATCAACTCGATCTCCGTCAAGGGCTACGGCGAGGCCGAGTTCTGGTTCGCTCTGATCAAGATCCTGGCCGTGCTGATGTTCATTATTGTGGCGATTATTGTTGCATCGGGCGGGCTTGGCGGGCACCGGTACGGGTTTGAGCTGTGGCACTACAAGGAGGGCCCGTTTGTGGCCGGGTTCGGCGGTCTGATTAATACATTTATCCAGGCGGGCTTCTCGATGCAAGGATCAGAGCTGGTCGGCGTGACTGCGGCCGAGTCGCGCAACCCATCCAAGCACATTCCCCGGGCGACCCGGCAGATTTTCTTCCGCCTCGTGTTCTTCTTTGTCCTGACGATCCTGCTCATGGGGCTGGTGATCGAGTACGACGACCCGATGCTGGTCAACCAGGGCGCCGAAGCCAGCCTGATGTCGCCATTCACGATCCTGTTCCTGAAGGCCGGGATCAAGCCTGCCGCACACATCATCAATGCGATCATGGTGATTTCCAGCATCTCGGCCTGCAGCTCCGGCATGTACGCCGCGTGCCGCACCACCCACCTGATGGCGACGCAGGGCATGGCGCCCAGGATCCTGGGCCGCACGACGCGCCGATGGTGTGCCGCTTCTCGCCCTTACTTTCTGCATCTTGTTCACGTTCTTCCTGTGGGCGTTCAATTTCGTTGGCCAGGGAGTCGTGTTTGACTTTTTGACCGGCATCTCGGGTGTCACCGGGTACCTGGCGTGGGCGGCGATCTGCATTGTCCACATTCGGTTCCGCATGGCGTGGAAGGTGCAGGGACACAGTCTCAGCGAGCTCCGGTACAAGGCATTTGCATATCCGTTCGGGCCTGTGTTCTGTCTGGTACTGATTGCCGTGATTGTGTTTGGCCAGGCGTACCCGTCGTTCCAAGTTTGGGTTTGACGCGGTTACGTTCTTTTCATCGTTCTTGGAACTGCCGACTGTTTGCCATCTTCTATTTCGGGTGGAAGTTCTGGTTCAAGACAAAGTTCCTGTCGCTGGCCGAGATCGACCTGGTCTCAGGCGCCCGCGCCGGTGTCTCGCGCGAAGAAGAGCTGGCGATGGACCAGAGCAGCCTGAACCGGACATTCAAGGAAAGAGGTCATTGATTTCTTTGTCCACATCTGCGGATAGGCCGCACGCATAACCTAGTGTCTGGGATAATTTTGCCTAAATATACTTCTGGGGTGAGGGGCACGCGCGCCACGCAAGGTTGACTACGTTTATCTTTAATCGTACACCGGCTGCACCACTTTGCGGCTCAATAGCGAGTTTATTTTGCTCAGTCGCGTTAGGCTTTGTGGAACCCGCTGTGGCGCATAACCACTGGATAGCGCCCCGGCTTTTGTCACCCTGGAGAATCGGACGTTCTCCTGCCCCATTCAACAAATTAGCCAGCACTGGAGAAGTGGAGGCACGGCATTCCAAGGGCTTGCGCTTTTCTCTTTTTGCGCTTTTCTCTTTTGCATTCTCGAGTTTATTATTCCCTTTTCAGCAGCTCACAATCCTTTTTCCTATTCTTTCTCTGGCCGCCCAATATCCAGGCCAGCAAAAGCGATTGGAGCACAACCTGGCTTCTTGCAGCTCCAGCACGGTCTCTTAAAAAGGTAAGGCACAGCGAGTAAGCTGCTGCGGGTCCCATTAGTCTACGCTATCCCGGAAACCGGTCCTGCCCCCATCCAAGGCGCAAACAAGATGCGTGTGCATGGCTATAGCTCATGGATCTGTATTATCCAATGCGGGTGTGTCGTAATACTGCATTCATCCAGCAGCGACAAGCCCACTGGGGATAGTGCATTACTGAACCATGTGCTCGTGCGGGCGGAAGCATGCTTCGGTTTTCAGCTCCCCCCCCCATTCCGTCAGCCGAGGGACAGAAGTCACGCAGAAAGACTTGTTTTGGAGCTCGGTAGTAAGGGGCCGCCAGCGCAGATGAAAACAAGGGAGGGAGCTCGCAGAAGGAGGGAGGCAGAGGGGCCGGTTTGCACGATGCTCTGAGGACTGGCAGACGAGAGACTGCATGTCTTTACCTTTGGCTCGTTCCCCAGCTATTTTGAGCTCAAAGGAAGCGTCCACGTTGGAGATTTGCAGCCATTCAGGCATCGGGCTATCTCCAAAAAGAAGTTTTATGTCTGCTCTTGAAAGCCGATCTTGCCATTGACGCATTTCGTGTTCAGAAAAGCTTCACGCTTCAAGATCTCTTCAGCCGGACTGTCATTTGGAAGGTCGCAAGCAAAAAAGGGAGGGGATGTGTGTGCGTTTTTATTTAGCACACGGGCATGCGTTTTTGCGAAATTTTGGATTTGTTATTATCTTCCAAGAGGGAGCTTCAGAAAGCACTAATTTTTCTACACCCCTCTCTTCCTTCCTTTTTGTCGACAATTTTTATTTTTATTTCTCCCCTCCTCAAGGCCTGCTCTCCCTTTAATGTGTATGTGGCCTGCCTGCGTAGTCCCTGGGCCCGATTCCCCTTTTCGTCGCTGTGTAACCCATGCGGGATGGAGGATGTGCGGGCAGAGATGTTTACGATATTCAGCCTCAGCACCAGGGATCACACGAGTGCAGTGAACTCGATACTAACCGCACCCATGCTCTTCTGTAGTCAGCAGCCAAAAGCATTCCACCAGCAAAAGCAGCCATACGGGGCTCCGGCGGTCAGTCAGCGCGCGGCTATTGAAAGGAAGCAGCCGATACACACCGTCGACGCCCGACTTGAAGCAGGCAGCATTGCAAACACACGAGGCCGGCGAGCAAGGGCCACACACGCTCCTACGCCGACTGTACTCGACGGGCAGGAAGCCGTCAGAAATGGATCTATACAGTTCAGCGCAGCGGACGGCGAAGCCGCAGGTACTGGACGTGGCGCGCACCCAGACAACTGGGTATCCGATATCCACACGCACGCCAAAGACGCCCATAGCGAGCAGCGACGGAGCACAGGTGCGACGCACGGCAACCAGCGCCAGCATAAAGTCCAAAGCGTCACAGGAGGCCGATACACACAGCAAACTGCAGGGGTTCCATGTCCGGGTAATCAATACGCATAGCGGCAAGGCCGTGGTGCGCGCCGATTCTGGTCAGCGAGGATAAGAGCAGCGAGGAGGAGCTGGAGCTGCCACCGCCCAGCGCCGCCGAGCTCAAGTACACCGCCCAGAGGGCGCTGCTGTCGACAACTGCCGCATTAATGGCGTCAACCAGCGGCAATGGACGGCCGGCAACGCGCGCTCGTGCAGCGAGAATGGAGCCCAGGACACCGACCGGGCAGCAGAGCCGGGCGGCAGCTGGCTTAGGGCGATGCAGGAAGCTTCAAAATTGACCTGGAGTTTGACTCGGAGCGCCCATATGCGGGAACTGCTGGCGGGATGGTTGCGAGTGCGCAAAGTAGCCAGGCAGACGGTACAGGGGCGGCAGCAGGGCTCGGCATCTGTGGTGGCGGGCCGGCTGGAAAAGGGCCGGACTGTCGACTGAGAGCGTTCTGGAATCATGGGGCATGGCCACCGCAGTAACTGGCGCCGATCTTTCCATGAGCAACGTGGCAGCTACTAGCGCCGTGGGTCCAGTAAACGACACTGAAGAGGAGAGCGAGGCAGACAGCGTGGTTGAAGACACGGCGCTCAGGGTCGAGGGCATGGCGCGCGGATACCCGGCGGCGATTGATTCAATGGTAAGTGGTGTTTTTTGCTGGGTAGTGGCGCATGCTTGCTACACAGGGCATGCGCGGGTGTCGTGATTCGAGGGACACCATATATGGAATACAGAATGCGCCTATTGTTGCCAAAGCCTTGTCAATTGTCAGCTGCCGATATAGGCCGTTCACTACGCGTCACATCTCCCCCTTTACATTTTCGCCCATGGCTGTATTTCGTGGGCTGTGCTGGATAGCCAGGGCGCTGCTGGTGCAGTGTGGTGTGATGCAGATCAGCACGAGTCCACTTGACATGGATGTTTCTTTCATTCGTCAAACACTGATATGTAATTTTGGCCGATCGTGCTGGGCAGTCCAATTTATGATGTGCGAATCGCTCATTGTGTTGTTGTCATTTTCTTCCTAACCTTGCGAGCCGCCTGGTGCCATATATCCACAACGGACGAACAGGTTGGGCAATTTTCCGCCAAAAGAAGGAGCACATTACTCATACTCTCCGCATTTCTATTTCTTGGATGAGACCGGTGGGCCCAAGCCGGGGGGTGTTTGGCAGGGCCCGCGGTCTCGATTTCAATAACGGACCGTGGCTCCTGAGCGCACTTTTTTCCTTTGTAAAGCACCCTTTTTCTACTCTTTGTCCAAGCTGGTGTGTTCCTGGCTCCTTGCAAAACAGCAAAATTCTCTCCATGATCTGCGCGTGCTGTTTTCTCGGCTACGTTCTCATTACTGCGCTAGCTGGCGTTATTGTCCATATCTACTACAAGGTAAACGCCCAGTTGGGGGAGGACAGACAGCAGCGACTTTTTTGCCCAAGGGGCCACATCCCGTTTCCACACGCATTATCCAGCGGTCTGCCTCTTTTACGTCAGTGCAACTGCTAGCGTACAACAAACATAATTATGCTGGGATCCATTCGGAAATTCGGTCTCGGACCGACAGGCAGACCGGCTTGTTGTCCAGGATAAAAAAGGGGGAGATGCAATACCACGAGAACCAAAGTCGAAGAATGGGCAGCTTTGGTCCCTCGTTCTGAAGTATTTTATTTGCTCTGCCGAGGAGGATGGACGCGCTCAGCCTGGTTGTGTAGCTGATTGCCTCGGCAATTATTCCAGTGCACTTTTTCTGGAGGTTCCGCCCTTGAAGAGCACGCGTTCTACTCTTTTTGTAGGCACTTTTGCAGCTGTTTCCCAGAGCACGCATCTCTCATTTGCTTCTGCATTTCCTATTTTTATAGTATTCTTGTTTTGCCACTCCCTCCACTCCCCCTTTTCTTCCTATTCTCGCGCATACCTTTTTGCATAAACAGGGGACGCACTATTCATAACGCATATACTTGCTATAGTTCCCCGGACCGCCAGGACCAGATAATCGCACCAGCTCAGTGGTGCTCTCTGACGAATCGCAGCGACTTATCGAGAGCATATTCAGCGGCCGGCTCAGCACCAGCAAGGACCAGGGGCCGCCCACCAGCACTAGCGCATTCCAGAGCGCCGTACACGTAACGCAGTTCAGCACCCCGCAGCCGCGGCCACCACCAAAAGCTTTCATCGCCGGAGATGCCGGTGAAATCGGAGCCGCTCAAGGGCCTGGGGTCGGGGCAGCTGGGCATCAGCAGCGAGCAGTACCAGACGGGCAGCAGAGGCAGCAGCAAGATGCGCAAGCCGTCGTTCTGGTCGATCTTTCGCGGCGGCTCAGCGCGCAAGGAGCAGAGCGCAGACGAGGTAAGTGATGATGCGGGATCTATCTGGCCCATTTATTTCCGGGCCTTTGGCTACATTTCGCTCGAGTGTTTGCTATGGACGGCGGGGTGGATTGGGTTAGAGCTTGTGCTGACTTCTCCTACCATGCCTTTTTGTGTCTTGGGAGGCAGAATAAAACAAAATGGCGGGTTTCCCTTTGCAATGCGGGAGCTTGGTGGTGGCTTGAAGGTCGATTATGAAACAGGCACTGGGATTCATTGGCAAAAAGGTTTTTTCCTTGGACCGGCCAGCCGTTTTTCTGGCTCTATTTATGCTGCTGAGGGACGGGAGGGAGCTGCCCAGTCAAGTGTTTTTTGTTTTTGTTTTCTTCTAGCCCAAATTTTTTTCACCTTTTTCTGCACATCCCCTCGGGCTGAGATTTTTCGCTTTATCTCTGAGGAATCGTGCTCGTTTCTTGTTTCCGTTATTTTGCCTTGCGCCTGTATTTATCTTCTTTCACTTGCATATATTATTTCTCCTTTCCCGCGCCATCATAAAACCGACTCTCTTGTGCTCCCCTCGCTGGTCTTTAAACACTGAGACGGGTAACACAAAAAGCACTAAAACGTTTATTTTTAGAAGGACATATCGGCTCGGCACGACAGTGATAGCGCCAGCCACAGCTATCTTCGCAGACGGCGGTCATCCTCGGTAGTTTTGGCGGCATCAGTCAGCCTGTCGAATATCCGGGCGGCAGCAGCCAGCAAGCGCGACAAGGCGGCAGCTCGATTGATGCCATCAGTGGAGCAGGCAGAAACAATAGCACAGCCATTGGAGGACAGTACAGAAGTAGCGGCAGTAGCGAGCAGTAAGCGGCCGCTCGAGCGTTGTTGCATCTGGATATCATACGCCAGACCAGGAATTTGAGTCCCTGACGACAGCGGCAGCAGTGGCAGTGGATAATTTGTCGGAGAAACTGAGTGAGCGCGTGATGTCGGGGCAGTCGCGTGCGGAATCGGTGGCCACGCAGGACGACTCAATCACAGAGGGCGTGGGATGCCGGAACAAGGCGGAGAGACAGCAGAGTATGCGGTGGCGGCGGCGAGCTGCCGGCAGATGCGACGGCGGTGGGCTCAGATGCGGGCTCGGCGGGCGGCGGGCTGGGAATCAGCGAGGCGGAGGCGAGTCCCCAGCCCGGGCGGCTGCAGTTCTCGCCAGACATGCCAGCAAAGCAGGTGAAAATTGTGCAGACGGAGGCGGAGCGCGCTGAGGAGCAGGCGGTTGCGCTGGGGCGGTACCTGTACCAGCTGGAGGAGGCGCACTGCGGCCGGCAGGGCAGAAGCCCCTGGAGCCGGCTCTGCCAGAAGCACTGCAGGGAGTGCATGTTACCAGGGCTGGTGGAGCACGCGGAGTGGCTGGGGCCGGCGGTCGTCGTTCAGCGGGCGGTGCTGCAGCATTACATGGGGAACTACGACTTTGCAGGGCTGCGGATTGACGAGTGCCTGCGGCGGCTGTGCAAGCACATGTACCTGCGCGGAGAGTCGCAGGTGATTGACCGGCTGCTGGAGGAGCTGGCGCGGCGGTTCATCGTGTGCAATCCGGAGTCGCGGCTGCGCACGGTAGATGTAGCACATGCGGTGACATACTCGACGCTGCTGCTGAACACGGACCTGCACATGGCACAGATCCGCACCAGTGAGCGCATGTCGAAGAGCCGGTTCGTGCGGAACACAATCGACACGATCGCGCAGTTCCAGGGGCATCGGCGATGGCAGAAGAGCCGGCGGTCTTGGAGGAATCGCAGGCGGAGCTGTCGCCGGCGCCGCAGCTGCCGGAGCTGGATCTGCGGCGGCGGGGCAGCGCAGCGGCAGCCAAGGCGTCGATGGAGGAGGCGGCAGTCAAGGCGTCAATGGAGGAAGCAGCGACGCCGTCAACGGTGGCGTCGCAGGGCGAGGGGTTTGAGGAGGGGCGGCGGAGCCTTGTGGGGTCGATGGCGTCGCTGAACATCACGCTGACGTCACCGTCGTCGACGCAGCCGGTACCCCGGTCGTCACGCGATGTGGTGCGGCTGATGGGATCGCGCGGCAAGCGGTTTTCGTTCTTCGACGGCAGCACGGCGGGCGGTGGGATTGCAGGGCCGGCGCCGGTGGCCAGTCCGTACGGCGTGGCCAGCCCAACATCGCTGCGGGCGTTCGACCGGCTGCGGCGCAAGGTGTCGACGAACAGCCCGCGCGGGTCGGCGGAGGAGTCGCCGGAGCCCTGCGAGTCGGAAGCGGCGGTGCGCAGCGGGGCGAGCCTGGCGGATCTAACCGGTGTGCTGAAGGATGTGTATGTGGGGATCAAGAACCGGCCGCTGGGGCAGCCGGCATTTGCACGGCGTGGCGGCGACGGCAGCCAGGGGGACCTGCGAGCCAGCATGGCGGTGGGGCGGGCCAAGGCGTCGATGGACGAGAGTGAGTTTGGCGACGTCGGATCCCCGGCGGGCGGGCGGCCGAGCTCAGTGCGTAGCGTACCGCTGCATGCAGTGCAGCGCACGCGGTCGATCAGCTCACTGAACCAGAGTGGTGGGCGGCGGGCGGTGGGCGGCGAGGCGATGCGGCGGTCGGGCACGTCGATGCTGGGTTCAATGCAGTGCGGGCGTCGCCGTCGTCCGCGTCGATGGGGGTGTTCGGGGGAACATACGCGTCGTGCATGCGGTCACCGATCGAGAACCGGTTCATCCGGTCGGGCGTACTGGTGCGCAAGCACTTGTTTGAGCGCTCGGGCAAGAAGGCGTCACAGCGGTCGTGGCGCACGTGCTACGTGTCGGTGGACCGCGGGACCGTGGCCATGTACAAGATGGACGGGCGCCACGGCGGGCACCCGGACGGCCGCGAGCTGACCGACACGTCGCTGCAGCTCGGCTCGGTGTCGCTACGCCACACGCTGACTCAGATGATGCCGCCGCCGGGCTATTCGCGGTCGCGGCCGCACGTGTTTGCCTTGCAGCTGCCGAGCGGCGGCGTGTATCTGTTTCAGACGGCGTCGGAGGTGGAGCTGCGGGACTGGGTGGCTGCCTGCAACTACTGGGCAGCACGCGAGTCCAAGGCCCCGTATATGATCGGCGGTGTATACAACATGGAGTATGGGTGGGACAACACCGGCGACTTTGCGCTGCGGCTTGAGGAGCGCGAGGCACGGCTGGAGCGCGGCGAAGAGCCGACGGTGGCCGAGCGGGCGGCCGAGGAGCGCCGGGTGGCCGAGGAGCGCGAAGCGAGCCGCAATGCGAGCATTCTGGAGTGGACGCCGCCCACCAACCCGATGCAGCGGTCGGAGCTGGACGAGTCGAGTCAGCTCGGGTCGCTGCTGCACCACATTGCGTACCTGGAGGACGAGCTGGTGGCGCACAAGAAGGTGCAGGGCAGCATTGACGAGCGGTTCTTTGCGCGCACGCAGCAGCACCAGCGCGCGTTCTCCAACTGGGAGCGCAAGGCGCAGTACATTCTGAAGGAGCTGATCAAATACCAGAGCTACGCCGACTACCTGGAGAAGGCCATCCGCACAGCGCAGGACGAGCTGGCCATCCCCGAGGAGCCTTCGGCTAGCGCCGACAGCAACGTGACTGTCCACGAGGAGGAGGAGCGCCCAGTGGGGAGTGCATTGGGCGCGTCGCGCGCGTCGTTGCCGCAGGCTGCCAGGCGGGCTAATACGGAGGCGTCCAAGGCCCTGCCGATCAAGGAGCTGCTGGCGCCGACGTCCGAGAAGGCGCGCAACCGCGCAAGCATTATTGGCGCCGACAAGCTGCGGCAATCGAATCCAAGTCTGCCGTCCAGTGCATCGCCTACCGGTACGGTTGTGCCGACGGTGCCGCCAAAGACCGCCTAGGCTCTTCTCGTTTTCGCCAACTTTTCTTTTTAGTATTTCGTAGTAATATTCTCCATTTCTCGTCATCGCAAGCTCTTATCGTGACCTGTGCTTCTCAGTGCTGGCTTTGTTTTTTTAATTTCTTTGGTATTTCGAAACCGCAGCTTTGAAATACCAGAATTTTTTGTTTTGCACTTGTTTTTGGATCCCCGTCCCATGCGAAGCGAGCACGCGGTGTCTTGTTTTTCTTGTGGCTGGCTTTTTTTTTTTGGCAGTAGTCTTCCTCGCTCCACACGCAAACTCTCCTCTCCTCTCACCATTAGTAATCCCTTTTTTTGTATTTGTCTTACTCTTATTGCTTCTGAATCACCAATGTCCGCACAGCCAGCTTCGTCACAGCTCGAGTGGAGCGGCAGCTCGACAAGCGACATGACCGAGACGCTGGGCGACAAGTTCATCAAAGAGACCGACAGCCTGACGGTGACCAATCCGATCGGTGTCGGGCAGTGCGCGCTCCACCCGTGTCTGTCGCGCCGGGCCACAGTGTCGTCACCACCGGTGGAGGAAGAAGAAGCAGACGACAAGCCAGGGCTTTCAATGCGGGT